CAACTATAATCCAATAAATATATATAAAATTGGACATGAAATATTACATAAAGTATAAGTTGAATAAAAAGTACTACACTAAAAGGAAAAATACTTAATTATAACATGACATTTTCTTGCCAATTTTTCTGCTTGCCCACAGTGTGTGGCAGAATTACCCTGCAGGCTAAATTCTTTTTTGGACAATGCTGACCCTGTTCACCACAACCCACAGCCAAGCCAAGCCCAACCTCACCAGCATCAATTATTACAGTCTGTCTAGCTCTCCACGCTCCCCACAGTGGGCTGAGTCTGCTCCTCCATCCAACCAACAATCAAACCATCACCCCCAAGTCTACTGTAGGCTGGTTTCTTCTTAATACCCTCTATTTATCAAAGGGGAAATGGCCACTAACTGTACAGGTTGCAGCCAAGAAATCACTTTCTCAGAAGTGTTCTCTGTGATCTCCAGACCAGCTGAGACTCAAGTACATGTTGGGTATGCAACCAAAGTTCTCCTTCACTGCCCTTCACTGGATTATAAGTAAATCCCTAGAGCCATGATTTGCCTGAGACCCTGTATCTGTTACAACAAACACAATAAGCACATGGTCCACATATGTCTTATTCTCTTTGGAGCTTCCAGGACCCAGCCAGGAGCCTGACATGTCACAGATGCTCCATAAACACTCATTAAATCAATAAAGTAAATCACACAATGGAAGACTGTCACCCTTGGTAACACTTGCAGTCAAATGATGTTTCTTATAGACACACAAGCATTGGTGTCAGCATGAGAGGAGGCCCCCGAATGTTTTGGGACACCATAGAGTCAGGTTTTGTCTCATACAGTCATGAGGAAGGAAAGGAATCTCCTAACAGCAAGTGGTTTGACTGCTTTTTATTCTCCTCCAAATCATATCCCTACATAATCCCACCTTATGAGTTATGTCTCATCACCACAGGCCTGTATTCTTTAAGTTCTCACAGATCCATGACTGGACAGAAACTCTGGATCCTCAACCCCTGGAAGAGTTACTGTCAGGGAAGGAGAGAGCATACTCTGACCTGATAACAATAAGGACTGAATTTTCATTCACAAGGCTCAGGGTGTGTGGGACACCTGTCTGTTCTTTCTGAAGACATCTCTGTATGTCATAATGTCCTGGGGAGCAAGGGGAGCTTCTTGTGCAGTAACAAACAGGAGAACCCCAAAACTCTGGTTGCTTGCATCTCAGAGGGGCTAAGATTACTACAAGAAACATTCTTCCCCTAACAGAACACACAGGACCCGTGGTTGAGTCTTCGCCTGGAGATGCTGCAGCTTCTGAGCCTTGTGGGCACACAGGGACACAGATTTGACTTATATTCAATATCCCAATGTAGTGATGATGGACACACAGGGCATTTTGGGGATCAGCCTTCCAGGCCAGCACCCTCCTCCAGAAGCCTCAGAAGAATCTTCACCAGACCCTTCCTTTGAACACTTGAAAGCAGAGAGCTCTGTGAAAAACAGTATATCCCCCGGTGGGATAGTTTTTCTGACACTGCACTCATAATATTCGGGTCAATGCCTGCCTTCTCACTGAGCTCACCTTACACTCCACAACATCTCTGTGGAGCACATGACATTGGCTACAGGTATACCTCTGTCCTCTAGGGAGCAATATTGAGACAAACATGAAATAGACACATGAACCTGGATTTGGCTAAGATGGAGAAGTAGCCTGATTTCATCTGCTGCTTCAACAGGCCTTTCTTCGGCCCTCCCTCTTGTCTGCTCTGTCCCACCTGTAACTTCTAGAGACAGTTGATAAAAAGGGACTGTGCAGTAACCCTGACAAGCTGAGGGGGCTGCATGGAAGACCTGAGCAGCCTCATAGGATGTTCCGATCAGAAATTTCTAATTTGGCAGGTGATGGCAGATTGACACATCACAAGACTCCATTTTCCTTAGCAAAGGTCAATCTTTACCTTCAGTGAGCCTTGACTTCTTTTACTTTTTCTTTCCCTCTTGGATAGCATAACTTGGACATATCAGAGGGATTTTCTTCACTGGACCATTTAATAGCACAGAGTCTGGAACAAGTGTATGAGACCAGAGACCCTTTATGTTATCAGATCCCCTGCACACCTTCTCTGTGTCCTGTAAAGGTGAACTAGCATATCATGTGAATTAGCATAAATGTGAATTACTCATCAAGATAAAAAGGTATATTTCTCCATTTTGCCTTTTACCCAATTCTGGAGATTTCCCTGCTATGTTTTCTGTTACCTCTGAATAGGTTTTATGTAACCTTGTGCACCTGCTACTTTGATTATTATGTATAAAATAAGCCACAAAACTGCATTCACAGGATTTGATACCTCACTACCAGACATATGAGGTCAGTTTGGCTCAGATAAATTCATTAAATTGATCAATAAGTTTGGATATATATATATATTTTATTTTGAGAGGGTCTTGGAGCACCTAGTCACTCACAGGGTTCTGTGCTGTTCTGTACCTCAAGAATGGCATCACCTATGGCAAGGCAAGGTGACCACAAGAAAGCCTGCCAAGCAGAAATCAGAGGTTTTTCTAACAGCCAGGCAACACAAGGACAAATCCAAGAAACAGACATAGAGAGGGGTGGTCTACATGAAGCTGTCCACTGAAAAACAGAAAGCCCGTAGCCACCCAACATTCCCCAGACTCCTTTCTTCCTGGCACATGCAGGACACATCCCAATTCACACCACAAAACTGCAGGTCCTACTGAGACTCCTGGATTTACATGTTTGTCCTGGGAAGCAAAAGCCAGATTGGTGACAACTTGAGATACAAGAAGGGTCCCCTGTGCAATTATCACCAAGTTTGACACCTTCTCACAGCCAGAATCATCTCTGTGACCTTCCTGCTGGGAGGAAAAAACACCTCAGAGCATCAGAGAACATGGAGAAGACCCAGTGCCAAGCTGGGTTTCTGTGTCACAAACAAAAATAATCCAGGTTTTTAGGACACTTGTGGCTCTCTGAGTGTTGCTGACAGTCCCAAGACCAAGTCTCAGGAGTGGTCAATATTGCCCTTAGTGTGTCATCCTCTTAGGGATACATGTGCCCCCATCAACATTGCTATTGCAAGTGTACCCTACAGGCCAGTTGGATCAACCTCTCCTGATAGCTTGTCAGATGCAGTACCTCATTGTGCCTCAGAAAGTGTAGTATAATGGGATCTGGAGACTTACCCTGTGCACAGGAGACCAGGAGAAGAGGTTCTAACTTCATATGAAACCATCACAATTTGAATGGGCACCCACCTTACCTAGAGATCTGCTGAAGTTGCATTTTTAAGACTTCACCTAGAAATAGAGATGTTGAAAAAGTTTCAAAGGGGATCTAATGCACAAGAGAGGTGAAATCATTTTGAAAGCTTTTTCAGAGTTAGCTCTAGAACTCCTGCTTTGAAGGGAAAAGTCAAATGTGAAACAGAGAGAGCTGTTTGGGAGGCTACTGTACACGTGACAGGGAGCTGTAGGAAATGCCTGAAACCCAGACACCCCAGGCTTTTGCTTTTGATGAAACAGCATGGGAGTGTGTGTTTGTGTGTGTGTGGTATTGAGAGGCCTTAGAATTTCTCAGGGAACAAAGTAGGGGAACAGTACTGGTTACAAGGTACAAGGGTGGCAAAAATGAGGGCTGGGAGAGTGAGGGTAATGTGCACAGACCCCGCCCACAGCCCACATGACAAGAGTAGTAAACATTCCCCAGAATAAAGTTCATTGCACAGGTAAGACACAGAGAAGATTGCACCATTCTGGACAGAGGTGCCTGTGAGTCTTAAACAACCTCAAGCTTTTCTCAGAAAGGCAATCACAAAAGAGACAACACACACCATGGGGTCACCTTTAATATCTACCCACAGAGGACTTGTCCACTGGCAAAGGCTCCTGCTGGTTGGTGAGTAGGACACAATTCCTTGGGGTAGACTAAGGATCTGAAACAGACTGGCTGGGGTCTGCTGAAGACACCAGTACCTTGAGACAAGACAGAAGGCTTCTTATTGGACCTGAAGCTAAAGGAACAATGAACAGAGTAGGATGAGGAAGGGGGCTCAAGGAGAGGAAAATCTCATAATTTGGAAGTAGTGAGAGGCAGACAACCCTCATTTGCTGTGCATTTTCTGTTATTTGTCCTGCTGATATACTTGTTTATCAGGAAGTACCAGAAATATTTAACAAGGAGTGCTAGGCATTGTCTTTATCACCCACCTTTGAAATGGGCCAATAGATTCCAAGATGTACATGACACTGGCATCATGCATTCACTCAACTCCATGCATTTCCGGGCTGTTGCAGTCACTGAGGTACAAGATAAGACAAGCCCTGTTGTGATCGAGCCCAAGTTCTATGTAGGAGAGAGGAACGAGGAAGGGCCTAGATGTGATGTCAGGTACCCACAATAGCCATGAAAAAAGAGAGTAGGGCAGGTGAGAAATGGAAAGCAGAGAACCTTTATATAAGGTGGTTAGCATGGTGCCTTTCAAAAATGACCCTGAGTATGAGGTGATGCCTGAACAAAGTGAAGGCGTGAGCAAAACAAACAACTGCAGAAGAGTATTTGAAACTCACCAAAATAAAAGCTTCAGAGGTGCTGAAGTAAAGAGGGCCATGTTTCTGACCTTGACCTGAGAGAAACAAACTGATGTGCAGACCAAGGCTGAGACATGAAGAGACCTGTTCAGGATTCAGGGATTCATCTTTCCATCCCAAAATGTAGATATTAATAATGATGCTTTTTTTTATTATTTCCTAGTTTCATTCTTAAACTTCTGGAGCCAGCCCACCACAGCCCAAGTGACAGTTGAGTCAACTGAAGCTCTCGAGGGGACTAATGTGACTCTACATATCCGCCATAATGCTCAAAATGCAGCAAGCTTCATGTGGTACAGGGGAGAAACCACTGATTTCCATAATACTATTGCATATCTTTCAGTAAACTCTGGCAGCCATATAAGAGGTCCTCCAAATGGACAAGGGATAGTAGAGGATGATGGGTCCTTGCTGTTACAGAATGTCACCATGAAAGACTCAGGAATCTACACAATATTGATCCTACAAGAAGGCTGCCAGCAAATGATATCATGTGGATGGCTTGATGTATACCGTGAGTGATTGCTCTATGACCTCTGGGTGTCAGGTGGGGTGAATTCAACTTCACACACAGGACGAATATACCCTGAACACTACCTCCTTTATTCCTGGCATTTTGATTCAGGGTGGATTTTAGTGCTTAATGTAGGATGCACAGAGAATGCAGACAAACTTTCTAAAACCTCAGTCCCTTTCTCAAATTTCACCCTCCCACACTGTCAATGCAGACAGAAGGATCAGCTTGATGGGAATATGTCAGCAGGGGAAGATCCAGCTAATGTCGGCCTCCTGAGCACCTCCCTATTCACTTGACCTTGAGAATGACTCTGTTGTACTTCATCAGAGTATAGTCTAAGAGGTCCCCTGAATTCTGTTCACAGCTCAGCTCAGAAACCCTTCCCAAGAACCCTGACCCAGGGAGCTTTACTGGCATCATGCATTCTGTGCTAGGTTGGATTTGGCCTCCTCAGAAGAGCTGAGTGTGTAAAAGTTCAATGGGTGCCCAAGTCACAAGGCTTATGAGGTGGTCACTAGTTAGGTCTCCTGACCAAGAAATCCATCTTGTCAGAAATGGAATTTGGTCTATCCTCACCTGAGTTTTGTGTGAAGAGTGGAGTTAGACAATGTTATTGTAGATAGCTGTCTAACTTGGGGGTCTCAGGAAAGTACAGAAGAAGGTCAGAATCCTTTAAAAGAAACTGAGAAAAAGAGATGTTCCTGGAAGCTCCTCATTCACCAGGGATCAGCCAGGAGTCCTCTTTTGAAGTCGATCGATAAGAGATGCCTCCTTTGACCAGCTCTTCTATTTCAAGATTTAGGTCAGATACTCTAAATATTTTACAGTCATTACCCTGACACCCAGCAGCCAAATATTAATTGAGAAGAAACTGAGAAACAGGGAGATATGGTCAGTAAAGGAGAGTCACACAGTCCATGAGCAGGTGATCAGTGTCACTAGAGTTCTGTGTGTATCCACAGAATTAATTTTTCTATGTCTGGGGCATTATGAGGGAGTCTTTGGATTCCTAAACCAACAGAGTGGTTCAGATCATTTTCTCTTAGGTGTCTTCAGTCACAGGAATGCATTTTGGTCTGTGAAGGGGAAAAAATGGAGGCAATCTATTTTTACTTTAGAAAAACATTATCTTCAGTAACAATCACAGTCATAGTGTAGATTACCCAGGCATCCTCTCAGGTGGTCCATCCACACCTTCCCTCACTGGACTTGACATAACTCATTTGTTTCCTGTTCTGGTGCAATCTCTCCCACCAGATGTAAAATAAATGATTTTTCATTCTTATTCTCTGAAATCAGCTCGAGGAAGAAATTTTAACAAGCACTCAGTTGTTTTTGATGAATTAGGAAGAAATAAATGGTAATTGAATGAATGAATGAGTGATCCAAAATCTCTTCAGAGCCTGGAATGTGGATGCAGAGTCCTTGGAATCCTCACCATAGGGAATAGTCTTTCGTAGTCCCAGGAACTAAGATCATCATCTCAGATCCTTTTCTTTTCTCTAATGAAATATGACTTGCTATTGGTATTAGGCCCTGGGGCATTAATAATAATTTTCACACACAGAAGAATTTTCAGGGTTTTTTTTTTCCAATTTTTATCTCACATCCACTTAACACAAATTGTCCAAAAGTGCTAGAACTACAGCAAGTCCATGCTGCCCACTTACTCTAAGGCACTGATTTTACATTTGCACAAGTCCTCACCTGCCCTCAGGAGAGAGAGAATGACTTTTATGGTCAGGGGAAAAACACATGATTCTGCTGCCATTATCAGCTTCTGCCTGTTCTTTTTCCTGTTTTCTAAATAATTTCTTGGACCCTGCTCTATCATTCATCATCTCACTGACTCCTTTCAGTCACATTTACATGGAAGGACCCAACCTACCACTTAAACCAGAGCCTGAGTAGACAACTTATCATCAGCTTGTTTCTGGTCTCTATGTTTTATTTCTGCTCAAACCCCACCCAGTGTCTAGGATGTCCTGGGAAATAGAGTTTCATAGAAACACACCTCAGTTGGGCAATAGATGTCTGTGCAGCTGGAAGGAATGGCTTCTGGTCAGGCAGGCACTCAGGTGGTCAGTGAAGAACCAGGAGAATTGCAGTGGTCTCTCTGAATGCCTGTCTTATGTCTTTCCAACACGGATACTGAACTGACACATGAGAAAGTCTGCAGTTTCCCCCAGACATATAGCTGGAGGACATGCATTCTCTGAATGCCCTGATTCCTAAACATGTTCTTGTGATATGCTAACCTGCCTTGTTAGTTCTAATACTCAAGTTGACTAAGAGGTATGAGGTACCGACTCTGATAGAAGAAGCTTTTCAAGATATCAAAAGTACCACATGGAGCATTTTGTTCTCTTTCCTGCAGAGCAAAGTTAACCACAACCAGGATCACAAGCAACAAATTCAACCTTGAGAGCTTTAATTTTAAATTTTGTATATAATAGTGGTGTTGAACATCTTCTTCTGTGACTATGTGCCATTTGTGTATATTCTTTGGAGAAATGTCTATTCAAGTGTTTTGTTCCATTTTTAAATCAGATTATTTGGTTTTGTGGTTGTGTGTAGAGGTTTTTTGTGTTTTCTAGATATTAACATTTTACTTTTCATATGATTTGCAAAATATCTTCTCACATTTCATTGGTCACTTTTCAATGTGTTATGTCCTTTTTGATGAAGAGAAATTTTCATTTTGAGAACATCCAAATTGTCTATTTTTTGGCCTGTCTTCTTAGTGTCACATTCATGAAATGATTGCCAAATTCAATATTATAATGCTTCTTTAAATATTTTTATAATCATCTTAAAGGGTAAGGTCTATCCTTCAGAATTTGATATAATTTGACTTAATTTTTGTTAGTTTTGATACTAATATGAAATTAATTTTGATATAATTTTGACTTAATTGTTTGTAGTATCAGATAGGGATCCACATCATTAATTTGTATGTGGATATTGCTGTTCAACACCATTCATTGTAAAGATCGTATTTTCTCCAATGAAATCCTGGCCTTTTCTCTTTTTAAAATTAGTTAATCCTTTTTTGTTGTTGTCCAAGTATCTCTGTCTCTATTTTCCTGCCACCACTTTCCACCATCCCACCCAACCCCACCTACAACCCACAATCCTTTTCCCCTTTGTTTTTGTCCATGGGTCCTTTATACATGTTCCTTGATGACTTTCCTCCTTCTTTCCCTTGTTATTCTCCTCCCCCTTCCCCTGTTTATGGTCAGTTTGTTTTTTGTTTAAGAGTCTCTGGTAATATTTTCCCTGTGGTTATATGGGAACAGAGAGGAGTTGTAGCTCATTCCTTAATATTTTCACCTGAACTTAGAAAATTGTCCACCAAATGCCTAGACCACCCTCTGTTTACCATTACATAAGTCACTGTGAACTGTGAGTGGCTGATATCCCTGAAGAAGCCATGTGCCTGCATGTCTGTAGCCCATTCTCAATGAATCACTTTCTCTGTCTCTTCACAGCTCTTGTGAGTGTGCCCATCCTGCTAGCCAATAACACCAGAGTCACAGAGAATAAGGATGCTGTGATCTTGACTTGCCACACAAACGCTGACATCATTGAGTGGTTGTTCAATGGCACAAATCTGCAGTACACGAACAGAATGAAGCTGTCATTTGACCGCAGAAACCTCACCATAGCCCCTGTCCAGAGAAGGAATGCTGGCAATTATCAGTGCAAAGGCTCCAACCCCATGAATTCTGCTGAAAGTGCATATGTTACACTGGATGTGATATTTGAGTGATTCTCCTTTCACCTCTATGTTGTTAAACTCTAAATAAAGTACTTTTTGCAACATTACAGTGGACTTGTTTTGAGGGTGATTAGTTCTTAAAGATTTCCACTGAGTCAATAAACTAGAAAAATGTGAGCTGACATTGGCATTTTGTTGACTTAAGGTCACATTTCAGACCAAACCCCACTTTGGGTTGCTTTCATGTGTACCATGTCCACAGTGGAGGGGTCATTGTAACAGTGTGTCCCTCAGAGGATGAGCAGTAGTGGTGTAATAAAAAATGAGAGAAGTTAAAGAGCTTAGAGAATCTGAGCTCTGTGTCTTGTCCATGAACACATGTGGAGGGCACCTGTTCTAGACAATGGGAATGGACAAGAGGACAATAATGTGAGTAGCGACACTGATTCTTGTGTTTCTCTTTGATGTCTTTCAAAAGATTTCTGAAGTCTCTTGAGTATTCTTCCTTCTATGCTAGTAAAATTATTTGTATGAGTTCAGTACATTTCTGTTCTTTTTGTTAATTAGGTATATTTGGAAACTTTGGTAATAAAACCAAGGCTTTAGTTCAAATGTTGTAGTTCAGATTGATGCCCATGGAATTTTAAATGATTTCACACTTTATAGAGCTAAGCTTGACATCTTCAGACTTTTGTTACCTCTTGCAGAAAAGACATTTCCCAAAGTGATTAAAATTGGATGTGAAGTGTTTGATTACCGCTTCCTAACTTCAAGAGGCTGTTAATACTCCCATAATATTTTTTAATGGAAAACCCTCATCAGAGCAAACTGTGTGGTGAATGTCAGTTCCTCTGAACTTAGGTAACTAACTAATCAGGCTGAATAAGGTGTCACCAGCCATGTTGCAGAGTCAAGAACACACTTATCCCTGAATGATTAATTTTGATGAATGGGAAAGTGACTGTAGAGATAAATGTAATGTCTGAATGGAAATCTCCAGAAGCACAGCCTTCTGGGAGATGAGGTTCTGGCTCTGTTCAGGGAGTGTCAGTTATTGTGACCTCTTGATAAATTGCAGGAACTGATGCAGATGCAAATTATGTCTTGGCTGCAAGAGATATAGTTGTGTTTCTGTCCACTGTGCAGAAAGAAGTTTGGTTATAACTCAGAGGCCTTAAAATTCTCTCAGAGTTGTTAACCTTCAGACAGGGTCCTTCTGATTGCAGGCTTCTGACCTCCACATTTTAGGGTTCTTTTAGAAATGTAATTGCAGTTTGTAATTACAGACTTTTTTTGCCACTTGGAATACACATGAGTCTCCTTAAAATTATCTTGCTAGTGTTATGATTCAGAGATTATCTATCAAAAGGGTCTTTGCCAATCTCATAAAATTTAGTCATCCCAGTGTCCCTATGTCTCGATTTCTGTGGGACGTACAAGTGTAACTTGGGTGAAGACCTGTACAACCATGATGTATGAGGTTCTTCTGTGAAGATTTTAACAAAAGTTTCATTTTCATCTTTTTCTTTTAATAGGAGGTTCAATTTGTTTAAAATTATTTAAATTACTGACATGTTTGTGTTTAAACATTATCTTTCATCTTGTTTTTATTATTGTTCAAAAAACAGTTGTCTCTTTTCCTATCACCACTCCACCCAGTCAATACATATCTCCTCTTCCGCCCTCAATATGATTCATGATCTTAGGAACATTTTGGTGTTTCTCCTTATAGTATTGTGCTACCTGTATGCTTTCAAGCATGGCATTTAACATATAGAGTCATTTCCTTCTATTTCTACAGTACTTGTCTTTTATCAAAATCATAACAACTTGTCTCTAGGGATTTTACTTGAGGGTGACATTCATTTCCTTGCCCAAGAAAATAAAGTCTCATAGAGTTGAGAAATTATTTAGATGAAACTTCTTAAAATCCAACATTATGAATATTGGGTTGATTTTTCTTTCTTTCCTCATAAATTATTTAATGAGAGGTAAATGTCTCTTCAATTACAGTGAAGTTTCATTGACCCCAGAGACATACAGGTGGTAATCTTGCCCTCTTTGATATTTATGGAAGTTTACATGAGGATTCTGACTTGCACATTTTTGAAGTCTAAGAAACTTCTGGGACAGAATCAATAAGAGCTTATCAGAAAAATATGTCATCTGATAGTGTGTATGACACCTGAGCCAGAAGTGGTTCCTGTCCTGGTACTAAGGAGATGTTCACAGGAACAAGTCAGGAGTCACCCTGGGGTCATTTCAAATCAGAGAGAAGGTGCTGTCCACTGTTTATACACTGTCATCACAATAATGACCATGGTCATTCTGCCATGTCAGGACCAAGCCCTCATGAACTTTACAGAGCCTACTATATACTATGAGTGGCTGAGATCCCTGAGGAAGCAGCATGGCCCCAGGTGCGAAGCCCACTCTGAAAAAGTAACATCATATGTTTCTCTATAGAGTCCATGAAAATAACCATCCTCCTAGTCACCAAAACTATAGTCACAGAATACAAGGATCCCATGGTCATGACCTGTTACACAAATGTTATTTCCACACAATGATTATTCAAAGGAATGAGTCTGAAGCTCAGGGAGAGAATTAATCTGTCCTGGTGTTACAGAAATTACTCCCCACAGGGTCTTTGTTACTCTAGGTTTCTCCCATTACTGTATTCAGGAGTGTGGCTCTCATTGCCATAGTATGGTAAAAAGTAAAAGAAGTATTTAATTAAAAGAAATACTGGTTTAGAATAATGGCATAATTCTGCCATTAAATCTCACTCCCTTCAGAATGCAAAAATAGACCCACAAACACACTGTTATGCCCTCTCCCCTTTGTCTAGTCAGGCCAGTCTCAGAGCATGCCAGTCGAAGTACCGCTTTCCGGAAGAAAAACAACAACAACAACAACAACAACAACAACAACAACAAACTGAAGTCTGCAGCTCACTTCTCTTGGTTCCTCCCCATAATCCATGCTTGTCTGGGCAGGTCTCCCTCAGTTTCCAACACCATCAGCTATGTTGCAGATATCTCCAGTTCTTAGTCCAATTCCATGTAGGATCTCCTCATGGCCAGCTGTTGAGAGTCTTTTTCACCCCTTCTTCCCTTGCGTGGTCCTGCAAGGTCCTTCATTCTCCCCATCATACATGGAAGACAGCCTGCTCATTTAAATCCTAGCCTGGATTCTCCTCCACAATTGGCTACATCTACTAACACTCCCATACTTTCTACCTTCCTCATCTGGAATAGTTAATCTCAGCATGCCTAGCCCCATGATGCACAAACTGCCTCTAAGCTGCTCTTAAAGGTTTAGAAAGTCCCTCTGGCTACATTGCATCATGGCTTAGAGCCATGCCCATCTCTCTGGCTCTGCCAAGGCAAAAATTTTATTACAACACTGGTCATGTTACTCTGTTACACTGGCACAACAGAATCTTCCTCAAAGACCCAGCCAAATAAATAATGCTGAGAATTACCAGTGTGACCTTTCCTCACATCAGTTCCTTCAAATTACATGTAATATATGAGTGATACCACTCCCTCCTCTGTGTTACTAAACTCAGAATATGTTTTTCGTGGGTTTTTTTTTTTTTACATTTTAAAAGATTTTTTGTTGAGGTGGAAAGTCCTTAGAAGACTTTCACTGAGTCAGTAAAAGCCCAAAAATGTGAGCTGACATTGTCATATTTGTGACTTATAGTCATATTCCACATCAGATTCCATCTCAGGTTCCTCTAAGACAATCTTCACCATGGAAGTGACACTGAGTTTCTCCAAAAACAAGCAGTGGTCTTGAGATGACTGGTAGGGGCACATGATAACCTCACAGGAATCTAAGCTCAGACCCTTCCACTTGTGGATGTATGGAGGGTACATGAGCACTGTTTTAAACAATGGAAACAAACTAAAGAACACTCATATGGGTAGCTACACTGTTTTCACAGCAACAGAATTATTTTCATGAGTTCAGCATGACTCTGTACTCTTTGTTAATAGGATATAATTGCAAACTTTCTTAATACAACCAAGGCTTTGGCTCCAATGTCCTAGTTAAGAACAATGGCCACATAATTAGAAATGACCTCACCTTCTAAAAAGCTAAGATTGACCTGATTGGTATTTTGGTATCTCTTAGGAGAAGAGGGAATTCCACAAAGCTAGAGAGACTGCAGGTAAAGTGTGAGGGTATTTCTTCCTACCCTCAACAGGCTGTAAAAAGCTCCAATCTAAGTTTGCATAAGAATAAGTTTTGTCAGAGTACACTATAGGATGAATGTCAGTTCCTGTGTAGTTAAGTGACAAACCAGGGAAAATCCAGTGTCCCCAGCCATGATGTAGGATCAAAAATACTTTTCTTTCTTGGAGATGACATTTGATCAAAGGGAAAGTCACTACAGAAAAAGATTTAATGTTTCTATGAAGAACTTAAGAAACAGCTTTCTGGAAGATAAGATCTTACCTCTCAAATATTTTTGAACCTGTTTATTAAAGGCTGTGAATTTGGAACTCTTCATACATTGCAGGAATTGATGGAAATGCAAACTGAGTCTTGGCTGAAAGAGATTTAGTTGTGTTCTTCCACACTGTGTGAAAAGCTGTTTTGTTAGGACCTAGAGGGTTGAATGTTCTCTCCAATTCACTAATCATTGGACATGTTCGTTCTGACTACAGGCCTTTGACTTCCTTTTTTAGAGCATTTTCTTTGGAAATGGACATGCAATTTGTAATTGCAGATTCTTGCTGTGCCCTTCTGAAATACACACAGGTATCCTCCAAAGTTTCTTGCTACTCTATCTGTCTAGAAGATTTAGTTTCATCCTTCTGAAATGAATTCTGCTGGGGTTCTTGTTTCCCAGTCTCTGAAAAAAGATAGAAGCCTAACTTGTATGGGAAACTTTACAACCAAGATGTAAAATGACCTCATTTCAGGGTTTCATAAGAAATTTTAATTTTCTTTTGTGTAGAGCCATTTAAGAAACACAGATGCCTATGCTTAGTGCTCTTCTTAAATTCCTTCCAGGCTTCTGTTTCAGAAATTTT